AGTATAATAGGGGACCTTGAAGAACATTAAGAAATAGTGCAGCAGAAACATGGGATTTAAAAACAGTCATTAAAAGGCAAAGAGAGTAAAATAAACACAAGACAAGCTAATATAGAATAACACAGGTATAAAATACATGAATACAAAGTTACAGTGCAGATAACCTCACCCTCAGGTGGAAACATACTGAGGTCCCACAGGAATTGCTGTTGTCTGACTGCAGTGTGTTTTGTGTGTGTCCTCCTCTCAGGTGGTGTCCAGTGTTCCCACCGGCTGGCTGAAGTTCCTGAAGACGGCGGGTCACGGCACTCAGCAGGACGAGATCCCCGAGGAGGAGCTGGAGGACATGGACGACCTGGACGAGATCGACCACGCTGAGATGGAGCTGAAGAGGGGACAGGTGCTGTGGTGCAGAGGACTCAACCGCATCTCCACACAGGTACTGGACTCATCTTTAGCATTTTCATTGCTTTTATTTTACATTTGATTGTTTTATTTACATGGATAACTTAACCTTCTTCCTCAATAGTTCCAACTTTAGTTTGTATCGTGGACTATCAGTTTAGGTGGTCGGGATTACCAGATGTGGAAAAATAGAAGTTGGTGGAGGACTTGCTCATTGGCTGATTATTCATAAAACAGCTAGGAGAATTTATTTCATTTATTTGGTTGAATTAGAACCAGAGTTCAGATCAGGAGCAGAATCAACAGAAGACCTGAAAGACAATGTAACTCCTTCATTTAGTGTTCCTGAATGTACTACTCTTGCAGAAGAGAACTTGATGCAGCGTTGAAGCCGGTGTCCATTTATTCCTATGAAAGTTTCTCAGTGGCGCATTAAGACAAAAATGCACTGACTGTAGATTAAAGAAGTACCCAGGGGCTTGGGCCCATAGACTATGGGTGATTATTCACTTGAGTTTTCTGTCAAATTAATGAAGGGAAAATAACTCTTATAACGCATTATACAACCTTTAGACCCTAATGTTTCAAATTAGGGCTATAGAAGTGTTCGTAAGACATCTCTTTCCCAGTAAGTGAATGGAAAACTGTGTTTTCGAACGCAATTACGTCACGGACTAGAACATAGGTGTAGTACCACTGTGTGGCCACTACTTTGTAGTAGACTTCCTGGGGATTTGACAACAACATATTTTTCATGTAATGGCTTCTGCTGACTGTTTTTGTTGGGAAAATACTGTATGTCCTCTTCCAATATGAGTGTAACATGATAACAAAGGTATCCCAACTGTAGCTGTGAACATGACAGGATGTGTGATTACCTAGAAGAGCATCAGGACTGTTTGAGGCATATGATAGCTATGTGATTAACATGATGATTCAGCCTCTATGGAGATGGACATATGACAAGCATGCTCATTTCTGACGTGGAGCTAATCTGAAGTAAACATTGAATACTGCTTTCTATTCCTCCATCTTGTGACTGTGTAACTCCCTCTCTTGGATATCAGCATGTGAAGGACACTGTTCAGGAACTAGTTGATGCTCTGTATGTGATGACTACTTCCATTCTGGAGAGGATCACAGATACGTGGATCCTGAGATTGAAGCTCAAGCCGGTGACGAGTGATATTTTTCTAACAGTTTTCCTTTGTGTTTTTCAGATCCGTGTAGTGAACGCCTTCAGAGACACCTTATCTCCGTACGAAGGACTCGAAACAGTCGAGTCTCGCAACTCCATCCACAGCTTCATGAGCAACCCGGAGTTCCATATCCAAGATTCGATGCCTCAGATCCCCCTGATCGATGAGGCCGATTGTGAGGACGAACCCCCGACCAAACGAAACTCCACCGTTCCTCCGACGCCAGAGACCGAGCCGTCGCCCCAGCTAACGCTCCCGACTTCGCCCAACCAGAACAACAACGCAACGGAGCGCAGGATCCCTCTTCCCGGCCTGGCAGCGCTCAACTCAGCCGGGTTACCTCCGTGTCCGGGGAGCCCGCTGCACAGCCTGGAGACGTCACTCTGAGGCCCACATACAACCACTTCCTGTCACGAATGTCTCAACGAGAGTTCTGGTTCTTCCGAAAGAACGAAAATACATTTTAAAAACTTGTTTCGATTGGTTCCCGTCAGGAGTTCACCTGCCGGTTTTTAGAATCCAGGAAGCAGAAATGTTTCCGCTGTGTTTGTGTTTGTGTACTGAGCGGCGGTGCAGCTTCACACGGACTCAAGTTTCTTTATTTTTACTATAGACATGAACTCTGCAGTTGTTGTTTAGAAGAAGACGTGTTTGTAAGGTGATCAATAATCCGTTTCTGATCTGTAAATATTGATGTTGGTGTTCAGACGTAGTTTCAGTTTGTCATCAACGAGCTAATTCAAGTTAGTTTTGTGTCACGTTTTTAACTTTGAGGATCTGTGACTGAAATGTTTAGTCTGTCACCTTTGATGAGGATGGGGGGGGGGCTGTTCTTACAAAAATATGTGTTTGTAGACAGAAAAGTTTTAAGTAATTGTTTATTCATTGGATTTTATTCTAGTATTTTTGTAAAAAAAAACGTTATAGGTTGTTGTCGTTTCAAAAGATGTTAAAACCAAAAGTAATTACATTTTAAAAACAACAACAGAGTGGGAGATTTGTCACATCAGACAGAACAATAAATGTTTCAGTTAATACAGAGAAACTGATGATTTTACCTTCATATCAACCTTCAAAGCTCTGCACCATTTAAAATGTATTTATGACACCATCTAGTTCTCCTTTATTTGCTGTGGGTCAATTAATCTACAGCTTGCACCACATTCTATCAAGTTATCAATTGTGTGTATCTTTGTCCTGTGAGACCCACGTATCTCTAAAGAGTCATTTTTCAAGAGTTTCTCAGAAAAACAGCCTGTTTTCAACTTCGTGGCAATGCATTTTCCAGCTGATCCAAGAGAAGACTATATTTCGCCTATCATAAACATACTTGTTTTTCACCTGACAGGAAAGGAGTGTGGAGCAGAAGTTGATTTGAGTGGAAGTGCAAATCTTAAAAGGTAGGGTAGGTAATTCACTTCAGAAACACTTGTTATATTCCATGGAATGCTCTTAACATCCCGATAGCAATGAATACATGAAATGCTTTGACAATAAATATATACAAATATTTCATCTGTGGAAGCCGTGGCGCTGTAAAAAGCACGACCAATCATCTGAGCCGGCCCGGCTAAAGTAACTGGATGGCCTACCTGCCTGTCAGCCTTCCATCTGTGCACAAACTTATCTCGTGCCCTCATTGGTCATGTGCGCGTTCGTGTGTGTTGGAGGAGGGGCTCTGTGAGGAAGTCTGAAGGAAGTGGCAGATTTGTTTAGGTTGTGTACTTTCAAATTCTAGCTCACTCGAGCTGCTTTCTCCATTCTTACATACCCTACCTTTAAGTTCAGTATTTAGTACATAGAGTTAATTACAATCCACCTTTGATGGGAGGCGTGTGGTGCAGTGGGTTGTGCGTTGGTGTTCGGATCAGGGGGTCACAGGTTCAAACCCCACTGCAGTCAGCATGTCGTTGTGTTCCTGAGACACTTCACCCAAATTGCTCCTGTGGAGATTGCCCACAGTATTGAGTATGTAAGTCGCTTTGGATAAAAGCGTTTAACAAGTGACATGTAATGTAATGGTCCTCACTGATGCTGAATGTGATTGAGCTGCCTGCAGGAAACAACAGCTCTCCCTGGTGGATGATTTGCACAGGGTTCCTGCTTCACACTGGAAGCTGCCCAGTTCAACCAGTAAGTCGTGTGTTCTCCAGCTCAAAATGTTATCACATTCATTATTACAATACATTTTCCTGATCGTCGTTAAATACTTTTAATCAGGTACCATTCTCGATGCAAATTGAGTATTTTTACAGTGTGGTATTATCACTCTAACTCAAGTGAAGATTCTGAATACTTTAATCACTTTAACCATTGGAAATCGGATGATCTGATACAGTTTAGTCCCTGCAAAGACTAAAGACAAATAACCGATACAACACAAGAGCATAACTCTGACGTGTATTTTAGTTGTTCTATTATTTACCGTCAAGTTATAAATTGTAACCCATAAACAACAAAACGGTAGTTTGGTAAAGTTAGCAAGATATTGAACTTGACAAGCAATAATTAAAGCACAGCACAGCAGCAGTGGCTGCCGGCCTTAATTAGAAAAGTAGAAAAAGAAAGAATTATAATTAAAACAATTAAATAATACAAAAAAACAAATAAAAATAAATAAATAAAATATAATTATTAAATTTCATAATTTGTAGGAAAAAATATAATAAAAACATACAATAAATAATAAGGTACTTAAATGCATTAATAATAATACAGCTATTCCAAACAGTATAACCACAACAATGCCATAAATACAATTCCTTACATTATAACAATAACAAATAAAGAAATATCCTTAAAATATAATAATAAAAACCATCATAATATTAATAAAACAATAACAAATATAATAATAAAAAATACAAATATAATAATTATATAATTAATCATGTATATAAAAAGTATGAAAATAAAACATCAATAAATGACGAGGGACGGTTTTGGTCGGTTTTGATCACATGACAATTCTGGTCATGTGATCAACTGAGTCCAGATCAATTCCTCATTGATCAAGCAGCTGCATGGCTCAGTTGATAGAGCAGGTGTCCCGTAACTTTGTGTATATGGGTTTAAATCCCGACCTTGGCAGTACATTTCAGTATAGATACATCCCCCTTTAACACTGCATCTGCACAAATACTTTCACCCATATCATGTCTTAAAAAACATATTTCAAAAAGATATTAACCAAAATTCAACATATGCATTTGATAAAATAAAAGTATTTGTACCCTGAAAAAAGTATTAATGTAGAATAACCAGCAGGGGAAGTGTTAGACGATGTGTGAAGTGACTTTGATCATTTTTCGGTGTTGCTGCACCTTGTAGACGACGGAGGACGGGACTACAACCCCCAGAGTTCTGTTCGCGCTTGCGTCACCAACTTCCAGCCAATGGTTGACTGCGTACGGGTCACCTGACCAGCACCGCAGCAGATTTGAATGTGTGGTGGTGTATGTATTTTCCGTGTCGTCGTTTTGAATGCGGAGCAGAAAATAACCTTTGAGAGTTTTAAGAGGCGCTTCAGGTTTGTTGTGTTTTAATGTAATGACACTGACTTCCGTGGACTTAACGTCATGTTGGAATTCTCAATTTAAAGCTGTTAATTAGTTAACATTTGCTTCAGCTAGTTTGCGAACCAACGGGCTAGCATGCTAAAGTTAGCATGACAAGTAACGTTCGTGTTTTAACTGTTAATCAGTGGTGTAAAGGAGCTAATTACATTTACTCAAGTACTGTATTTAAGTATACTTTTGAGATATTTGTATTTTAATATTTACATGTTATGCTACTTTGTACTTCTACTCCACTACAGTTCAGAGGTCAATTGTGTACTTCTACTCCACTACATGTATTTAATCCCTTTTGTTACTTTACAGATGTGGATGAATGGTGTGAAATCTAATCAAGTGTTGAATCAGACTTTAGTTCCACCTGGAGTAAATCCACCAGCTACCCTGCAGTATACAAAGCCATTCAAACTAGCTGCACCTTCACCAGCTTTGAGAACACTTTCATGATCAATCATTATAAAACATATCATATATATTATTCTGAAATGGACCAATCTGCACAACGACTACTTTTACTGTCGCTACTTTCACTATATTTTGATGATAATACTTTTCTACTTTTACTTCAGTAACATTTTGAATGCAGGACTTTTACTGTAACAGAGTATTCCTACACTCTGGTACTTCTACTTTTACTGAAGCACAAGATCTGAGTAATTCTTCCACCTCTGTTTGTCAGAAGTTATTATACAATATCATAACATGTGTTAATGTACTGTTGCTGCAGGTGTGATCTGGATCAATCTGTATCGCACAGAGAGGAGACAACATCGGGATGGACTGTCGAGCTAACAGCGGTAGGTTAACACTGACTAAGCCAGAGTGTATTTAAACACCGCTAACACCATTTGTTTTGTTACCTCTTTTAAACCCGTGTTTATGTCTCCATACAGATATGTTCTTTCTGGCTGATGAGAAATTTGACTTCGATGTTTCTCTGTCACCTGCCAGGTAATTTCCTCTCAGCTGTGATTCAATTTAAATAGCTTTATTGGCATGACCATAATGACATACAGTATTGCCAAAGCTTTGTACAATTATGATATCCATACATAATCATTAATAAACATTTTAAACAAAAGCAATTCTAACATGTTTTCTTTACAAGGATACTATACAGCTTTTGAACACAAACTAGAAATGCCTATGTGAAGCACTTTGAATTGCCTTTGTTTCTTAAAATGTGCTATACAAATAAACTGACCTTGAACCTTGATTAAAGTAAACACGGAACAATAGAAAAAGTTGTTCTATCTAAAAGTTGATATTTCTCTCTGCAGCTCCAAAGGTGATGAAGATGAGGATGAGGTGTTCATGGGTCCGGTCAGCCATACGGAGAGGTGCGTCTCTGTAACCGTGGCGTCGCGTCTTGAGAATGTCGGCGGCGTGCGTGCAAGCTGGAGTCCTCTGAGCGAAGATCAGCTGGACGCCGTGTGTCAGGAAGCACACAGACTGGCCGACCAGCTGCAGGACAGAAAACCCAATCAGAGCGCCAACGGGACCGCCAACATGGCCACCGACGTGACCGCCGACACCACATCTCACAGGGACGAGTTTGTCCAGGACGCTGAGGTCAAACTGGGCATGTTGGATCACATCCCGAGTGCTCTGAGCCCCATCAAACGGGAGACCTTCTGCGTGCAGGACAGTCCCATGAAGCAGCTGCCGCCCGCCGTGCAGTGCCGCCTGCTCAGAGGAAGCAGCTCCAACGCTCTGTCATCCACCCAACCTTCAACCACCAACCCTGTGCCATCCACCAGACCTGCTTCCACCACCCGGCACTCCTCCGTTACCCTCCCTTCATCCTCTCGCCCCGTAGCCACCTCCAGACTCGCCACCTCCATGGCGGGGGGGAAGCCTCAGCTCAGGATGGGGCTTCGGGGGAGGGCAGCACTCTGTGTCGTGCTGCCGAGCAAACCTGCCGCCCCGACAACTTCCTGTTCATCCAGCAAGAGCCAGGTGGAGAAAACCAGACTGCAACCGTCGAGACAAGTAGGAGAGACAGGTTTTTTTTCACCTATTGTGCAAAATCCACTTCTTCATGTCTCTTCTACATCAACATGTGTCCCCTCTTCTTCATGTCTCTTCTACATCAACATGTGTCCCCTCTTCTTCATGTCTCTTCTACATCAACATGTGTCCCCTCTTCTTCATGTCTCTTCTACATCAACATGTGTCCCCTCTTCTTCATGTCTTTCATTCATCAACATGTGTCCCCTCTTCTTCATGTCTCTTCTACATCAACATGTGTCCCCTCTTCTTCATGTCTCTTCTACATCAACATATGTCCCCTCTTCTTCATGTCTCTTCTACATCAACATGTGTCCCCTCTTCTTCATGTCTCTTCTACATCAACATGTGTCCCCTCTTCTTCATGTCTCTTCTACATCAACATGTGTCCCCTCTTCTTCATGTCTCCTCTACATCAACATGTGTCCCCTCTTCTTCATGTCTCTTCTACATCAAACATGTGTCCCCTCTTCTCCATGTCTCTTCTACATCAACATGTGTCCCCTCTTCTTCATGTCTCTTCTACATCAACATGTGTCCCCTCTTCTTCATGTCTCTTCTACATCAACATGTGTCCCCTCTTCTTCATGTCTCTTCTACATCACCATGTGTCCCCTCTTCTTCATGTCTCTTCTACATCAACATGTGTCCCCTCTTCTTCATGTCTCTTCTACATCAACATGTGTCCCCTCTTCTTCATGTCTCTTCTACATCAACATGTGTCCCCTCTTCTTCATGTCTCTTCTACATCAACATGTGTCCCCTCTTCTTCATGTCTCTTCTACATCAACATATGTCCCCTCTTCTTCATGTCTCTTCTACATCAACATGTGTCTCCTCTTCTTCATGTCTCTTCTACATCAACATATGTCCCCTCTTCTTCATGTCTCTTCTACATCAACATGTGTCCCCTCTTCTTCATGTCTCTTCTACATCAACATGTGTCCCCTCTTCTTCATGTCTCTTCTACATCAACATGTGTCCCCTCTTCTTCATGTCTCTTCTACATCAACATGTGTCCCCTCTTCTTCATGTCTCTTCTACATCAACATGTGTCCCCTCTTCTTCATGTCTCTTCTACATCAACATGTGTCCCCTCTTCTTCATGTCTCTTCTTCATCAACATGTGTCCCCTCTTCTTCATGTCTCTTCTACATCAACATGTGTCCCCTCTTCTTCATGTCTCTTCTACATCAACATGTGTCCCCTCTTCTTCATGTCTCTTCTACATCAACATGTGTCCCCTCTTCTTCATGTCTCTTCTACATCAACATGTGTCCCCTCTTCTTCATGTCTCTTCTACATCTACATCTGTGTAAAGAGATTCTGAAAGTTTCAGAAAAAAATATTCTCTCTCTCTTTTTGTCTTGACCCATTTCTATAAAAACCTGTCTGCAAATGAGCTGATCAGATTTTGGCCACTTTATGATGTCATAATAACGATTGTTTGGCTTGTGTAACCATTAGCCAACAAGGTATTAGCTATTTCTAGTCTTTTAATTGATCTTATGTACTATGCCTTGTCTTTTTATGCTGCTGCAACCCAAACAATTTACAAATTGGGATCAATAAAGTACTTATCTTATTATACATGTAGATTCAGTCTGTTATATCTACCGTATTGACGGGTCGTCTTATATTCGGGTCAATACGGTACTTTGTTTCATCTGTCGAACAACTGAACATCCACAATTTGCGAGGACGAGATGTATTTACTGCTGTGTTTCTTGGTTTCAAAGAGTTGTTGTTGTTGTTGGTAGAAACCATGGATTTGTGTCTCTTTTCGTCGTGTTTCAGGCGGTGGGGGGTTGGAAGCGCAGCCCATCGTCTCGCCCCTCCAGCAGGGCGGGGTCCAGCGAGGATCTGCTCTCTGATTCGGCGAGCGTGGCGTCCGACATCAGCGACTCCTCCTTAAACTCCAGCCTTCAGGGGAAACGCATGCTGGCTCCGCCCACTAAGGTAACACACCTGTTAAAAAGTGGTCTACAACAGGGGGGGAGAAACAAGTCAAATCCCTTACAAGTGTACACAAACTTGATACATTGATTTGATCACTTTGGGGGGATTCAAGTCCATCTTAAAGGACAGAGAACAAGAATCCGTTGGTCGATGTGATTGCTCTTTTATCCCATCATTTATGATAAAATAGTTTTATGTTTTTATAATAGTTTCTTTTATTTTGCATATTGACTGGTTAATGTGCCATTTTTTGTTTGCGTTTTACGACCGCTGTGTTCCTCTGCCTGTGTTTGTTTTGTGTTCATTTGTTGTAACTTTGTTCATGCTGCCCTCTTGGCCAGGTCGCTCTTGGAAAAAACTTTTACCTGGTTAAATAAAGGATATATAAATTGACCTTGATACTAGTCACACAGCGCCACCTGCAGACCAACACACTAAATGAAACTGATATTCATCATGTGTCTTAACTTCCTTTATGTTTCGGTCCGTTAGAGTGCGATGAGGAACATGTCGGGTGTGAAAGCTCCACCTCTTCAGAGGAGGAGGGTGACGGAGAGGAACAACACATCCTCTTCCTCGTCCTCAGTGTCCAGCTTCAACTCCAGCATCTCTCTGTCCCCAGCCAAAGGTACGCTGACGTAATGTAAAGAGTGTCCATGCTGTGTGAGGGACTTACAAAACTACACCATTGTCAACAAATCTGACCACTCTTCATTAACCCTTATGTTGTGTTCAAAAGCTGTTACCATTCATGGTGTACATTTTGACCCATGATTTATCTCAGTCCAAAACACACACACAAAATGACTATCATCCAATATTGTTTTAACTACATCATAACTAACTCATTATGCATTCATAACCGTACAATCCTGTTATTTTATTGTATGGTCCCAAAACACATTACACCACATATTGCACACGTGTGTGTTCAGGTTCAAGTTAGGGCTGCACGATTTTGGGAAAAAATCTAATTGCGATTTTTCTGACAAATATTGCGATTCGAATTGCGATATTTGTTTTGAAGCGACCCAACGGAAGTTTATGGTAAAATGCGGCCATAACTCCGGCTAGGAAGGTCGTATCAACGTACTCCCGTCTCTAGCACCCCGCAGCCCGAGCTACGAGTGAAAAAACTAAACTTACATGAAACTTCCGTTGGGTTGCTTTAAAGTCAAGCTTCAGTTTAAGATTCACCCTGTAATAGAAACACGTGATGGAGCATTGCTAACCTGACTCAGATGGTTCACCAAACCATCTAAAGCTCCATTGGAAGCCATTTGGAAAGGGCAGGCACTTTCAGAAGCACTTGGCAGGTGATTGGATCAATCTGTCTATCACCTTCTATCATGGGCTACTTCTGATTGATTAACAATGGCTGGTACATGTGGAGCACAGCACTTCTGATTGGTGTGGATGACTGAGACACAAAAAAGAAAAAAATAATTGTAATAAAAAAAAATATGTGTTAGAAAAAATCGCAGGCTTTGCGATTTGATAATCGCATCATTTCAAATCGCGATTTCGATTTAAAATCGATTAATCGTTCAGCCCTAGTTCAAGTGTTAGTGTACATATTCTTTGAGAAAGGTGGAGTTCTCGTGAGGGGAGGGGAGACTGGGTGCATGTTGCGAAAAATGATTGTGGCTGGGGGGGAGGGGTGTCTAAAGTCAAAGATGAATCTTGATTGGGCCAAATTTGACCTCGAGTCCCCCAAAACAATTCTACTGGGTCTCCCCAGACCCCAACACCAAATTACACACTTCTTTTTTTTAGAGACCTTCAGACTTGGCTAAAATGGTCAAAATCAGTTTTGCAGTGCTTATATAGCTGCTGTGGAGGATATCATGAAGCCTTGATCAGATAAAAAAAACAGAGCGTAGTTATTATATCATTTGAACTTGAAACGGGTCACAGGAGACCCGAACAGAACGTAAGGGTTAAACTAAGTAAAGAAAACGCCATGGAGTTAAGGAAAAACGTGAAAGAGAATTCCTCAGGACTTAGGGAAAGAGACTGTACTGATTATGGGAGATGAGAGGAAAACATTAAATGACAACATACCTCTTGGTTTAGAAAAAACGACACCCTTTGATGGTTTCCTTTAGGAAAATAAAGCTCAAGCTAATGAGAAGACAATACGGTCTCACTCCTGTAAAAAAGCAGCAGCAGATGAAAAGTTACGTACGTCTGGGTGGGGATACAACCATTTCTCCAAGATGGACTAACAACAGAGTTTCTAAATACTTTCCCCTGGGCTCTCTTATCACGGTCTTTCCTGCTGGCTTCATAAACATAGACAAATAAATGTCTTCATTTCCAAGGTTGGAATTTAAATAATGTAAAAGGAAACGTTGCTTACCCTCTTGTCCACTCGTATTAATCAACATGAATCCCGATTAGTATGATACTGTTTGTATAAATAATACTTTCACTACTTCCTTTCAAACATGTTGAGTTAATTAAAGCCTGGGAAACGCCATGAAATGCTCTTTAAATGACCTCATTTGAACAAGATTTGACAGTTCCCCAAAACATATAAGCACTTAAGCAAGTTATGAAATAAGTTGTAAAATGCTTAATAAGCATAGTGACTTATACGATCTTTATTTGCCTGTCAAAGTATTTTTTTTAAATGTTGAAGCACAGGGTGTCTTAAAAAGTATTAAAAGTTGATCAATCAATTTAGTGAAAATTAAGGCTATTAAACGGCTTTTTCCAAGATATTACATTTTGTAGCTTGTTTTCAATAAGTATATAAATGGTCCAAAGAGGTTGTGTTCTACAGTCTGCCTGAATGTAATCATTGCGTAGGTGTGTAGTGTGATTCTGTGTAGTTTATTGATGGCATCCCGTTGGGTTTGACGTCATCTGAACAGGACATCGCACGCTCACTGCTTGATAGCGCGAAGGTCCGTTTACGCCGGTTGCTAAGCAACATCGTTATGGGGAAATGCAAGTCTGCGTCCAAATGGTTGGAAGATAAGGAGGAAGGACAATCAATACTGTATATAGTCAATGTGAGGTAAAGTGTGTCGCCAAGGTAACCGGTTACAACTCCAAGTGGCGATGAGGTCTTAAAATGTATGGAAAGGGTCTTTAAAAAAGGTCTTACATTTGAGTTCAGGATTCCTGCATATACCCTGAAGCTCTTTCCGTATCGGTTAGAGAAACCGAACAGCTCTTATCATGGCTGCCATTTCAGGTTCATTTCTCTCAGTTAAAAGCCTTCCTGCGAGGACAAATACTATCCGACTGTAACCCTGTTGTTGTGTCTCCTCTCAGGTAAACTGAACTCCTCTCTGAGCGGCCCCGCCCCCAGCAGACCGGCCAATCAGAGCCGCCCTCGTCGCTCCACCGTCAACACGCAGCAAATATCTTCCTCCACCATCGCTGGCCGCCGCTCGATGTCTCTGCAGAACAGGAAGCTGCCCGAAGTGGAGCCCGTCAAAGCGGGCAGATCCAAGCCGCTGAAGAGGTCCGATTCCACGCCGGTGCAGCTGACCCCCGTTAAGAGAGGGTTGGAGAAGAGCACCCAGCCCCTGAGCGCTCTGAGAAGCAGATCCAGACCTGAGGCACTCGTCCTTCTGACACCAGGCGGAGGATTCAGAGGAGTCCGCAATGCAGACAGTGAGAGGAGCATCAGTCAAAGTCAACTTTATTGTCAATCTTTTAGTTTGTGTGTACAGACAGAGAGATCGAAATACCTCAATCCTGAATACAAATATATATATATATATAACAATATGTATATCCTCTAGGGCTATATCCGAATATTCGTTCGTTGGAGTACTATTCGGGTTTCAATTCCGTTATTCGTTTTTTGTTTTTTTTTAAATTGAATTTATTGAAATCTCCCATATCAACGTAAGAGCTTGTGCCTCTTCGGGAGGTGCTAACACTTAACCATAAACGTTATCGTTTACTTTCTCCGTCTTTATATGTAGATATTACTTTTCTCCGTTAATCTCCGTCACGTTGTTTCCAAAGCAACAACAACTTCCTGTCAACAGCGCTACCTCGCCTTCAACATAAAAGCATGTCCATAAATAGGAAGCCAAGCCAAATTACACTTAAGACATATACAACTGCAACGAAAGTAACAAACACAATGCGATATCCTTTTCAATTTCAAAGAACACAAATTGGGTTACATTAACAAATAACTATAAAACAACAATACTGTAGAATAACAAAATGAATGCCGTGAATACACTGAAATACACGTGTTGAAGCGGTTCGCTGCCGATTACTACCGAATATCCGGAGCCCGAAAAATGGTATTCAGGACAGCCCTAATATCCTCTATATCTCTATATCTCTATATATATATATATATATATATATATATATATATATATATATATATATATATATATATATATATACAAAAAAACAGTCACTTCTTCAATATGTTTATGTATGTTTATTTTTCTCATTCTGCCTGTGTTGCAGCACCTCTTTTCACCCTCTGTCTGAAACCAGAGCCCAGTCTGCTCTGATTGGAACTCCCTCTGGAGGGAACACGGGGATTCTAGCCTTTTAGCAGACTATTTACATGCACAAAAACCTGTATAACACACTACTGGAAAGAGCAAGCCCCCAAAGAGCATAGTAGGGCCGCTTCAAAGCAAGCTAACCACCAAGAACAGACTCTATGCTGCGCTTTGACGCATTATTTAGCAGATTTATAGCCTATTCCATTTTCCATTCCCTCTTCTTATATGTTTTGACATTTAACCGAACTGTAATAAAGTAATCAAAATGACTGCATGAGACCAAATGCAGAGTTCAAAGCTGCAGCACTTTCTGTTATACCGCCTGTGGTAAATAAAGACACACTTAAAGTTTGACTTTAGAAAGGTTAGGAGTAAAGTCTCTGGTCCTTACCTCTTAGAAATAATTGGCTTCAATTTAAACTTCTTTGTTCAAACCAAATAAAAGAAAGTCTTGTGAAACAGAATAATCTCATTGTGTTGTTGTTTTAGCTCCAGACGTCTCAAAGATGTTGAAGCCAAAGGCGCTGACGTCAGTGAGCAGCCTGGACAGGTAGGTGGTGCTAAATACTCCTTTTTAAAAGAGCAGCTTTTACCAACTTCTGTCCTGCTGAGTCTAGGGCTGTGCGATTAATCGTATTTTAATCTCGATTTCGGCTTGCAACGATTACGAAAACAACGTAATCCAAATAAAACGATTTATTTGTTTGTATTGGTTTTTCAGTTGAATTATAATTAAAGTTCAGGGTAATCAACTGTTAAAAACATATTGTTCACATTTTCTTTTTCAAGAAATGGATGTTTTCAAAGTAAATGGATAATCGTATTTAATAATCGTGATATCAATTATTGACAAAAATAATCGTGATTATGATTTTTGCCATAATCCCACAGCCCTAGCTGAGTCTAGATCTGAAGTAGTTTTTTTTTAAGGTTCATTTAACTTCCCTTCTGGCAGTCAGGGTTCCCACGGGGTCTTAAAAAGTCTTAAGCGTCTTTGAGTTGTGAAAAGCGCTATATAAATAAAATGCATTATTAAATATGATTTAGAAGGTCTTAAAAATGATGGGATTTGAAAGGTACTTCTGTATCGCGATCGCGTCTAAATGTGTTTTGAGGGAAATGTCCGGGCTGCAAAGTCACCAGTACGGTAAGAGCCTTTCAGGTCCCCCCAACAATCTGTATTGAAATAAATCAACATGGAACCAGTAATCACTAACTTTGTTTCCCCCGGCCCCGTATCGGAGAACACCCAGCTAAAAAGTCTTACATTTGAGTTGGTGAAACCTGCAGGAACCCTGGGCAGATCATTAATGATTTCCCTCTCCTTCTTCTCCTGTAGTCTCCAGAAGCCATCAGGCCCTCTGACGCCCCCTGCTGTCAGGTCGCTGCAGGTGAAACCTCAACGTCCCTCCGCCCTCCCGACCCCCGTGAAGCGCAGGATGTCCTCCATCCCCACGCCCACCACCAAGAGCCGGGCCAGCAGACCGCCGTCCAACCCCGGCTCTGACCCCGCCTACACACCCTCCTCCACCAGGAGGGACAGGAGTTGCTGGTAAGGCTGCCGTTGACCAATAGGAATATCCCTTGTGAAATATATATATATATATATATATATATGCCATTACATGCCAAAACATTAAATATCTTCGGACTCATTCATTTGTTTGTTTTGGTTTCTGTAGCCCCGCCCCCTTGGAGATGCAGGAGGCGGAGTCTGTTGAAATGCCCGTCATCCAACCCTTCTGCCTGGAGGAGGAGGAGTTTCCTGCTGCCCCGCCCACCAGCTCACCACAGCCCGACCAATCAGAGAGCACAGAGGCTGGAGCACCGAGTCAGGGCCAATCAGAGAGCACAGAGACTGCAGCACCCAGTGAGAGCCAATCAGAGTGTACAGTTCCTGCAGCACAGAGTCACAGCCAATCAGAGAGCACAGTTCCTGCAGCACGGATTGAGAGCCAATCAGAGAGCACAGATCCTGCAGCACTGAGTGAGAGCCAATCGGAGAGCACAGTTCCTGCGGCACGGATTGAGAGCCAATCAGATTGTACAGTTCCTGCAGCACAGAGTCACAGCCAATCCGAGAGCACAGTTCCTGCAGCACGGATTGAGAGCCAATCAGAGAGCACAGATCCTGCAGCACTGAGTGAGAGCCAATCGGAGACCACAGTTCCTGCAGCACAGATTGAGAGCCAATCAGAGCCATGCAGGAACCTGATCGAACCTGAAACTAAAGAGGAGAGCCACCACAAGACACATGAGGTCAGAGGTCACGCAAAAATAAAAACACACACCTCACATAACTCAACTTTTCTTCTGTTTTCATCTGTATTTATTTCTGCCGTTTGTGTGGCAACCAATGAGTGTCTGAGAGTTCACTTCACTTCTTGTTTCTCTCCTCAGTTTCTCCTCCTGGATCTCCCCGCTCCGACGCTGCTCCCTCAGGAGAAAATGCTCATCGACCTGAGCAACACCCCCGAGCTGATCCGCACCAGCAGCAAGTCCTGCTCCAACTCTCAGGTACTCACACGTTACCTTTAGCTGACGCTTTTATCCAAAGAGACTCCCATTAAGTCTTTCAACCATGAAGAAACAAACTCAAGATACATGTGCAGGTACTCACATGTCCTCTCTATGAGCCCAACTCGATTAAGTGCTACTCCGACACATTCCTTTACAATATTATATCCACAAACACAAAACCTATAATGTAAACATATTACGCATTACATTTAGGGCTTTGGGCCTCATGACAACATTTCACATTGGCCCCAATTAGGCCAGGGGCAGCACTGCAAACACCCAGCTATAAATAGTAAAACCAGAGAATCTGATTAGCCTGCTGTGTTTTCTTTTTTAGATTTATGTATTTGAGTTGTATAAATAAATAAAAACTGAAATAAAATAACCTAAGAAGCGACCGTTTGAGTCGTAAAACAAAGTAAATGTAATTTTAAAGCATTTTTTCTTTAACTTCTGTGTGGTTTAAAAAAAACACCCGGCACAAATAATTATTTTGTTTTAAAATATCTCTTCAGGGGAGCTTTAATAATAATTTGTATTTGTATATATTTCACTTGCAGTTCAAAGTGTAGATGGTAGACATCTCCTAAAATACTCAGAATATATCACATAGAATACAGTTACAAGTACAAGACATAAAACAAACTTAAATAGAGCAAAGAATATTCATAATATCAGGGTGTCCGCGGGGTCTTCAAAAGTATTAAAAGTTGATAAATCAATTTAGCGAAAATTAAGGCTATTAAAAAGTATTAAACGGCATTTTCCAAGGTATTAAGAAGGTCCACAGCAACGACAACATGAAACGCCCTTTAATTTACTGAAACAACATGTCGGGGAAACCCCTCAAGGCGGCCCCATGCATAGCGTGCCGTAAAATGCTGCTTCTTATTTTAAGTTTTGTTGCCTGGCTCCGCTCTGTGAGGGGGGGGGGGGGGGGGGGTTTAATCTGCTGGTGGACTACCTGAGAGATATACAGCAGGAGAACACGCCGTCCACCGCGGAGAATAAACAGAAGGTCAACACATATCGACCCTAAATATAGTCTATATTAAGAACGAGAAAAGTCTTAACATATATAGTTTTTTGTAAACATATGACAAATGTGCGAGGGTGATGACGTCAGAGCATCGTCCTATGTGCCGGGCTTAGCCCCAGACAGCCCCAGTCCAATTTAACCCCTGGGTATTTGTGAGGGAGCTCCTATATGGCATTACCCCGCTGAAGCTCACCAAAGTTTAATATATTTCATAGTTCAACGTTTTGTCAATTGTTTTGTTTATTGGTCAAATACTGGTTTCTAATGGTTTCTGAGGAGTTCTACTGGAATGAAAGAGCACAGAGTACAGAAGCTTACAGGAGGCTTCAGTCTGTCTGCACTCGGTTTAGTTGTGCTATCTTACAATCAATATAGTCAATGTGAGGTAAATTGTGTCGCCAATGTAACCGGTTAGAAATCGAAGTGGCGATGAGGTCTTAAAATGTATGGAAAGGGTCTTAAGTGGTCTTACATTAGACTTCAGGATTCCTGCATATACCCTGGATAGGTACGACGATAAAATGGTGCATTAAAAGGAGGATAGTGCAAATACAACAAAGTCAGGTGACCGGTTAAAGTGCGGCAGAAAGCAGGAGTTAGCTTCCTAAAAGGCTAAATTGTACAAATATGTTTTGAGTCCCTGATGGCATTTTGTTCCATAGCTTTGAGGCGTAGTTCCTGAAAGCTGCATCACCAATCTTTAAATAGTGTTTTCTCTCAACCTGTGTTTATATTTCTTTATTGTCCTGCAGCTGATCGACCTGACCTCTCCGCTCATCAAGTGGAGTCCTGAAGACAAGAGGGAGAACCACGCTCCGCTCATCAACCTCTCCTTCTGATCTTCCTCCTCTTCCTCTTCCTCCTCCTCCTCAGGATCTTCCATAAACTGGACTCTTAATTATTATAATTTAGTAAAATGACCCCTAAAGTTTTTATCAGCAAAGCCTTAACTGAGTATTATGTTTTAAATGGAGAAAATATTCAAAGGTTGCAAAAGGTGTTTCTGCACCGGATTGTACTTTTATTGTCTCAGTCTTGCTCTTATTGATGTCTGAATAAATGTTTATGTCACGGCTGCTTGTTTACTTTCTGTGGTTATAATATGTCCTCTTAACTTGATTGAGGTAAGGGTTAGTTTGCCGGGGGATATACAAAATATAAAAATATATATATATATAATAAACCTCCAATCAAAGATATTGTTGTAAAATAAAAAGTCAGAATTTGGCATTTAAAATGATGAAAAATTAAAAAAATTGTGAAATAATCTCTGATATTTTAATTTTCCCAGCAAAACAGAATCCTGTAATAATAACAGATTATTCAAATTTCCATTACGAAACATAAGAAATCTCATGCTCTATAGACACAGGTGTGCTCGCTCTCACAGGGTGGCAGAAAGAGGTTTTTTTTCGCTGCCACAGCAGTTTTCTCGCCAAAGTGACTCGTATCGCTGAGTGTGTTTTCCTCAGCTATAATAAATATGCTGCAGGTTCAGGTGTGTGTTGTTCACTTGAAACATGGCTCTCTTCACGTGCGCTATCCTCGTCTTCCTCGCGCTCTCCGACTGCAGCCGGGCTGAAGAGCAGGTGAGGAGCTTTTTGAAATCTGGACTTGTATCCAACGTTTTATTTTTTCATTTCTGATCTAAAATATTATCCCGTTTCGACAATGCATAAACCAGGGGTGTCCAAACTACGACCCGGGGGCCAAATGCGGCCCGTTGCCCACTTTTAATCGGCCGTCAGCAAATGCTAAAAGTGAATGAATATCAGAAATGTGTGCTTGTCTTACATTTTACGTCTATGTTTAAAATAAACTACACAGTGTTAATCAAATCAAGTTTTATTTATATAGCACATTTATAAACGATTTTTGGTCGAGCCAAAGTGCTGTACAGATAATAAAAATAGCCTACAGTAGAGACACTTTACAGCAAATACAACAGCACAGATTGTTCAGAATATCAGTATGAGAAAAACGACACCCTCTGTCCTTAGACCCTCTGTCCTTAGACCCTCTGTCCTTAGACCCTCACATCGTACAAGGAAACACTTCCGGAGAAAACCCACAGTTTGAGGGGAAAAAATGGGAGAAACCTCAGGGAGAGCAACAGAGGAGGGATCCCTCTCCCAGGACGGACAGACGTGCAATAGATGCCGTGTGTAAATCGAAGAGATAATACATTTTACAGCATATAGACCGAATGTTAGGAAATGCATGTGTCTGTAATAAGAAGATGAATCTAAGATGTCAACTATAATAAGACCACTTTTCAAATATATTCCATCAATTAAAGTTGGAAACGTGTTCTAACATATCCGTAGTATTTCCATAACAAGCTTGAAACACACCCTTCCTATTTCTCCTTATTGTAATCAATGTGAGGCTTCTGTTTTAAGGGATGAGCTGCCAACACTCACATACTTTACCTACATTTGATTGAGTTTGCTAACTGATAACTGAACCTATGAGGCGATAAACCTCGTCTCTATCGAGTGGCCCAGCCCTTCGTATATTTCTCTGTATGTAGCCCTCGGGGGAAAAGTTTGGACCCCCCTGGGATAAACAGTGTTTGCCATTTAGAGATGGACAGCAAAATATATGCATACAAATGAAATGAGACAGTGGTCTGTACTGATTGTATGTACAAACAAACCATAACAACGACTAAAGTAATTCCCTACATTCCCTGCCAGTGAGCCTCAGACACACGATTATTGATCAGGAACAGGTGAGGAGCATTTTGATATCGACTTAACTGGAACAACAGTTTTAATATTAGGATTATATGGGGCTTAAATGTTATTTTTTAGCCATTAATCTAAAAATCTTGTTTGTTTTCTTTCAAATTGTGCTTGCATTATTGTTTTTCACGACCCCTGTGAAAACTAGATGGTACATAATCAAACTTAACATTTTTATTTGGTACAAAAACATTGATTTAATAATAAGTGAAGATAAAATAATGACTTAATGGGAGAAAGATATATAGCACATTCACAATAGAAAATACATATATCACTAGAGAATCTGAATAATACAACATGAAGGAATACTGAATCATTTGAATGTAACATCTCTATAACATACAGGAATATAAGGACATATAATACAGACTACAGAAGTAATTAATAGAAGTTTACTTTTTCTGAATTGCCTAGAACCTAGGAGATTTGTCGTATAACGAAATCACAATATGAGTTGTGAGGATGGTAAAGATGATTCTTCATTTGCACCTGTCGGCCTCCATACTTATCCATGTCACTTTTGTTTTTTAGTAAACTTCAACACTGTCTCACAGCTAAAAAATACTGCAAAAGAATATATATATTTGTTCTCCATTTACAAAATGATTATACTAAATAACAGCTTTTTGTTAAAAATACTTAAAGGTCACATATCATGCTATTTTTAGGCAATAGCATAGGTCTCAGATATATACAAATATATAAAAAACATGTCTATGAAGTGTTTTGCTCCAAATACCAAACAGATCACCCATTCTAGCCATGCCTCATATCCCTCTATTTCACTTCCTGTTTCTAAAGTGCAGATTTTGGGTATAAAGCTTATCATGGATTATCAAGGATTATTTCTGAAACAGTCTGGAGCTCAAAGGCTTTCTCTCTTGACGGTTATACCACACCCTGCTTGAGGACTTTTGTGTTTTTTTGGGACGTCTGGGATCCGTCCCTTGAGGGGGGGGTACTGTCACGATCTGTCTTTATGGTGTTTTGTCTTGTCTTGTTTCATGTTTTATTTTGTAAGGTCTTCACCTCCCGTCTTGCCTGTTTCTGTCTGCGTTGTGTCTTGTTTGGATTTGTCTGTGGTTCCCTGTCGTTAGTTTCCCTGGTGTGTCTGATTACCCAATTGTGTTCACCTGTGTTTTCTCCTCCCTCCTCACCTGTGTGTATTTAAGTTCTGGTTTTTCTGTCTGTCTTTGTCGGTTCGTCTTTTGTCATGACTAGTTCGTCGGTGAGTGTTCTGTTTTGTCTTTGTTGTTTCACTTAGCCTTGAAATAAAGGAAGTTTCACGTTATTCTGCATTTGGGTCCTACCTGCTTCACACACCGTGACATTAGTGCCGGATGTATAAAGATATTAATATGAGGATGTGCAAAACAGACAAACAAATTAACCTTTATTAACACATTAAAGAATACTTTTGGTCAGTGGCGAGCCGTCAGGGCCCTCTAGGCCCTCTGTGAGGGCCTAAGATATTCTAACAAATAATATTTGAAAACATTAAAAAAATGACATTTTTAAAAAAATATTTTTTTGTTGTTACATTTTTCATTAGTTTTACCAAAATAACTTGATTTAATTGTATTTAAAATAATATTTCCAAAGAAATAAATCCTTTGAATCTGCCTGTTCAGTTTCTGTTGGAATGTGAAGGGTTAAATGCCGTCTCTGCGAGTTATGTGAAGACGGGAGAGCTTGTTGGTCCCTCTCTACATTCACAGAGGGCCAGCTATAGTAATTCAATGAGAGAGTAATGTCAAATGACAGTACAATTGACCAATCATATCTTCCCTCTAAATGGGCGGGCTTTATTTTTCGCGGACTTTATGACAAGTTCCGCCCGCTGTGAGGTCTATGCAAGTGGTGCAGTGACGCGTCCTAAACCCCGGAAGTAAGCTTCGCTCGGATTCCCTCGACAGAAAGCATTGGGATTTCTCCATAGGATTTTGGAAAATAGCTCGAAATAAGGTCTGTGGAAAACGAACCTGTTAGATAAATGCACGTTTTGTTCAGCCGGATAATATCCACATGTCTACCCTACTTTTATTATTTTCGAATCATAAATCTAATCGATAGATTTATGATCGATAGATTTATGATTAGCATAAGTTCGTTCACGATGGCTCACTTCAGTGATAGTGATGACATCGTTGCGAAATTATTAACCGAGTCATTTTCAAGATTGAGTGGCAAAGGATCAGCTGAAGCAAGTGCTTCATCCAAAAGGACAGGAGGATGGACTTTATGTTTAAGTGATTTGATCATCAAAGGTAGGCCTAAGTCATTTTCAATGTGGGCCGCCGTGCCGACTTAATTCATTTGTAATTATTACTTGGCTGTGGGTGCCCTGTCATGATAGGTGTTTATATAAATGGTGTTGTTTTGTGTGGTAGAGGCTCGCTGTCATTGATGCGTTTTGCACCCCGGGCCGCTGTTTTGATATTCCGCTGAAGTATACGTGGGACGTAATATCTCTTCTTTGTTTTCGAGGGAAGGGGAGTCAGAGGGCTAGGTATAAAAGTCACGGCTCGCCACTGCTTTTGGTTAAGGTCTTCTGCCCCTCTAACATCCAATCCCAGAGCTTGAACATTAATCACGGGGTTTGTCAACGGGACTGTAGTCCCAAACGATAGCTGGGGATTATGGGTAGTGTAGTGTCTTCGGCCATCCTAAACTCTGATTTTTTTTCCGGATATCATATCGCATTAACACCATATCCCAACGTGCATTGCGGCTAAAACATCAAATTAGCGAACATGAAAACATTCCCAGTTAAAGATGCAAAAACAAATCTCGCTCATGAGAGTAACAGCTGGAGAAATTACAGCCTTGCCTACTGATTTTAATTTAACCATATATTGAGCCCGATTCTCGATTTAAAATGTGTGCTCTAAAATGATATTTATAAATGACTATTATCATTATTATAAGCAAGACAATAAATGGCAAAGATATGTAGAAAATAAACGTATTTAAGATACGTTCATAACAAACGTAACGTGGGAGAAAGTATGTTTCTAGAAGATATGATCACGTGACATAGACGCCAGCCATTGGAAATTAATGGTGAAAAAAAACGTAGGGATCTTAAAATTTCAGAGGCGTTTTTGTACAAATACTACGTCCCAAGTTGTGGACCAACGTAGTTATTACACGTTTAGATGTGAGACTGGGTTGTAACTACAGACAAATAGCTCTTACATCTCACCTATAAATGGATGAAAAAGATCATTGTCCGTAGGCTCTCACATGTACTGGGACAGAAAGGGCTGCTGAGTAGTTTTCAGAGCGGATTTCGTAAAGGGCAGTCCACAATAGATGCTTTA